TCTATTTATAATAGAAGAAATATGGGCTAAGCCCAAAATACAAATGAGAAATAATAACTAACTAACTAAAAGATATAATATATCTAACACTTCTATTATAAATAGATAACCCTATGTGTGTATTTAACACAAGGGGATATTCTCTCCCAATCTTCTCTATTTCTCATACCAGGAAACGAGTCATCAAGTGGGAGAAAATACATAAACAAGAATGTTTTTTTCATGCATATATGTATGTAAAAGAGTAGGTTCGAATGTGTTATCTCTCCACACCTAAATGCATAACTACAAAAGGAAAAAAAATACATGTAACATTATACAACAGATCAATAATCACATTCAGAACAGAGCATTACAACTTGAAAAGCCAATGTTACTTAAAAATCCTAGTGGACAGAGGGAGATAACAGCCTCCCAGTGCATGCTCATATTCACAAAGCATAACATAAAGTAAAACTCCGAAGGATTACTTGAAGAGTTTCTCTGTGATATTGGTCAATCGTGCAACATCAGCACCTACAAGAACATCGGCCATTTTTCCATTCTGAAAGAAATGAAGTGTAGGCTGCAGAAGGTAAAAACATTGCTATAAGTTATAACCTTTAGGAGGAGGGATATTACAGTGAAGCGTTTAAGATAAGTTTGCAAGGACAGAGATAAAGCATTTTCTACTGTCTCCACTGAATATTAAAAAAATGAGAAATGGCGTGTTAATTTATGTACATGTAAAATTCTGAAGAATCGCCTTAGTCAGAGAAGAATTAATGCACCACAAAAAGTTCTTAAGCAAGGGAAGAGCTAAATCTTAGAGTACAAGTAAAGAATTTCATGTTAACAAAAGCCACGCAGAGATTTACAGTCTGAAATTGCCACAATCTTCAGTGACTTCACAATTATATATTGATATTAAAAACAACGCTACTGTAGCACACTTGTTCAATGACAGATAAATCAGTGGAAATTTAAATTGATAAGGTATATTTAAGTCAATTGACAATGATAGCATAGCTTACCTAACTGAGCATGTATACAAATTACAGCTAGGTCTTAGAAAAGAGATATATATAAGTGGCCTAAGTTTTCATTGAATTTAATCTAATTTTCAACCTAACTCAATCCATCCCAACCATAATTGGTTTGGGTATAGATGGGCTATCAGATTAAGTAATTAGAAAACATTCTCACCCCTTAAAGAAAAATACCTCAATAAATAATTTTAATATTTCTTAATTCTTAAAATCTAAGGATGATAATTATAAGATATACATAACCAGTAATTCTAAAAATACTGGAAAGTCAAAATAGCAATCATAAAATAATATTCATAGATATGTTTTGCAACTCAGTGAATGGGGTCCCAAGACAAGAAATTATAGATAATATTCTACAATGACATTGATATTTATTTGTTATAGCATATGCGAGATGAAATATTTATCCCTAGTATTCGTACAACAATATTCATATAATAAATCATAAAACTGGTTTTACACAGTAGATTAATTAGAAAATTAGTATTTTTATTAAAAAGTTGTGGTAGGTCGGATTCATTCGGTTTAAAACTCCCTAACCCAATGTTAATTGGAAGCACTAACAAAAAACTAACCCAACTAAAACTGTAAAAATGTAATTCGGTTGAACGGATTTGGAAGCACACAACTCACTTACACTGCTGAACTAGAATAAGCATGATATATTTTTTATAATAAAGCTTGAATTTTAAAGATTTGGTGATTACAAGCTTGAAAATTTGATCCTTCTAACCACAATATGCTATGTTGATGATCACATTAGCTTTGAAGATGTTGATCTTGTGTTTGATCTGGGTTTAGGTTGTAATTTGTGGATTTGATCTCATAAGTGCTTCCTTTAACTTAATCATTTGTTAAGCTGGAAAGCCTTTGAAAGTGTTTTGGTGCCCTTTGTGGTTTTTAGTTTTATTTTAATAGATTAAAGTGTGTTTTAATCCGTTAAAATGTTCTTAGATTTGTTGGAAAAGAAAGAAAGAACATTTGAATCGCTTCATATAACGATTTAATCAATTATAATCACTTAAAATCCAAAGCTGTCAATTTGGCTGTTTTAATCTATTAAAACGAGCTTTACATAGATTAAAATCACTTATATCTTTTGCTTTTACTGTTCTGCTTTAATCAATTCAACCCAGTTAAAACTGATTTTAACATATTAAAATATTGTTTTAACCAATTAAAACCTCGAGAGCTTAGTAAGCTCTATTTTAATCGATTAAAACTATCAACTACCATAATCTTTATATCTCTCTAACTTCAAAACCATATATGATATGCAATTAAAACCATTATTTTTGAAACCAAAACACGTTGCCTACAAAGAGAGACTCTAACCTGAGATTAAAAACACTTCTTGGAGCCTTCTTGCTTTAATCTTTGGTTCAAATCCTTGGTTTAAGAAGTTCACATTGTAATAACCTTTATATTTTTTCTTCTGATAAGACTTTTAAGGTGTATGTTAGGAAAAAGGTTCAAAATTAGAAGTTACAAAACAGTTAACAGTGGTTGGACAGTTTATGGGTGGTTAGAAGAAGTTATTTAATCTAGTAAGGGTTATCTTTTAAGGAGGAAACGGTTCCTCCTGGTGGTGGTGTGCATTTTGTTTCAAAACAGGGCTTGTCCTGTGTAGAAGGGAATTTCTTCCCTTGGAAGCTGTTGGATGTTTTCTTGTATTATGTTTTTCATAATTAGAGTGTTATTTACGTTGTGCAGGAAGATTTGTGTGTTAATTTCTTAAACTGAATTATAAATCTGGTTTCTTCTCTATTGTGTTATATCTTTGTCCAAGTGATCTTGTTCCTTTTCTGTAATTTCTATGGTGTATTCATCTTAACTAGGGCTGTCAAGTGTGTTGTTCGTGATAGGGTTTCATAAGTGCCGCTAGAGATCTTGCATAGTTCAAGATCTAGTTGTGTGTGTATTGTATTTTCTAGTTTTCTTAAGAGGTTCTTGTGAAACTTGAAAATACAGTAGATTGGTCTAATCAGGGTGATTAGGTAACTAGATGTAGCTCTTGTGATAGAATAAACCACCACAAATCTTGAGTCTCTCTCCTCTCTCTTTTCTTTACTTGTTATACAGCATATTATACTTCTCCTATATCTTGTATCTTCAATCTTGCTTTAAATTGATATGCTGTGATCTTGATCAATCAATTCAATAATAATTTGTTATCCTATTTTGAAAATTGGTGATAGTTCATTTCACTCGTCCCATTAAGGTTTCACCACTTCGTTAATGAAATAATAATCCACTGACAAAGATGTTTACCACCAAATACACTAAAAATTATCAAAGCAATAATAAAAAGAGAGAAACGAACAAAAAGAGGCATGCATTAATAAAAACAGATGAATAAACTGAGGGAGAAGTTTCAAATTGTTGATGAATGCCTGATATGATTCACAATCTACAACCAGATTTTATTGTATACATGTGTGCAAAAGAAAAAGGTTTTATCACCACAAGCAGTATTTGAAAATAAATTTCTAACACCAATGTCAAATAAATTACCACAGATGTAATCTGCAATTTGCCCAATGTGCCTTGAATTGCTTCCTGGGAAAAGTGAAAGTGAATGTTTAAGCTCCTTGATACATGGAAACTTCTTGATGCCATAATTATTAAAATTATGCAAAACATACTTTTAAGTTTAACACGCAAAAAAGTAATGAAAAAGGTAGAAACCACCAAATGCCCAAACCCAAGTCTCATACTGACTATAAATAGTGCCAAAATACAATATATAAATGAGAGTAATCCTCAACTTGCAAGCCAATTTTATAGGATTGAGTTAAACCTAAACCATGTTATAGGATGGTATCATAGTCTACTCTAGATCCACAAAAAGGGTCACTTACCATGCTATCCACGTTCCAAGCCCCTTAATGTTGGATATGAGGTGTATTGGGAAAAAACCAAGTCTATATAAATGAAGGCAATCCTCACTTTACAAGTTGATTTTGTAAAGTTGTGTTACACCTAAACTACTTTGTAAAAGTAACAACAAAATGAAAAGTACAAAGCATGTAAATCTGATCATGTGATTCCTTGTAAGCATTTACGTCTGTATGTTATCATATCACTTTTCAAGATCCTATTAAGCATGTCTTAACTTGTGACTTATATTTTTTATATATATTAACAACAAATGGATAACGAGTCAGTGACTACAATACATGCATACTTATGTGTCCTACATTCATATTTATAACGCTAAAAATATAATTAGACTCATGCAGAATATGAATTTTAAGCTATTTTCAACTGTGCGGTACATCTTATTGAAAATTCAATCTAAGATAAGAAAAAAGGAAAAAAAGTGGCATTCTGAAATCTATTAAATAAATTGTAGTTTTGCTCATGATTCGAAACCACAGATCACACAATTAATATACTCCATACCTGATCGATGTCAATCTTATATGTTGTCACATGAGGATACTTCTTACTGAGCTCCCCAACTATAGGAGAAATAAACCTGCCTAAACAGAAGTATACACCACGAAAACAGTGAGAATTTTTCTATTGAATACAGACATCAAGAAAAACATATACAAACAACAAAATCATATACACCACCTCTTTGTGGAAAACCAATAATTTATGGCATGCACCATCCACATAATTTTTTCTATCCGCCAAAAGATGAATTACTCAACTCAAACAAGAGCAAAAAACTGGTTTGTAAGTTTAGAGTACATCACAAAACATATTATCTTTAGCGTTTCTGAAAGAGTTGGCGATCTCACATTCACTGGGAGCATAATTTATCGTTTGGTATCATAGATACACCAAATACTCTCAAATTATGTGATCGCATCCTCATTGTTCTTTTGCAATGGTCACACACATGCATCACCAAGAATAAACAGCACAGTAAAACAATTACAATTCATTGGAAATATCTAAGTCAACATAAGAAAGGGTCACCGCAACTTACAAGGTCCACACCAAACCGCAGTGAAATAGAAGACGGCGTGCAACGAGTTATCTATTGAACAGAATTTCACCAGGTAGAAAAATTCAGCTCTTTATAGATTCATCCACATATAAAAGAATAACAAAACAGAAGAAGAATAAAGTATATTTACAGACCTGTACAAAAACCTATTTGCAAATTCATGGAATAACAAACTTCTATAAGAAAATAGTAACAAAACATAGACATACCTTTGACTTTGGTAAGGATGTTGTTGAACTCTTCCTCTGAATTAACAAGAACAACATCAGACGAACCTGAAAATAATTCACCAATAGACTTAGTTATTCCGACGCAGTAAAATAAAATTAAAACAATTAAATATATAAAGTCGTTTTCATCTAGTGGAAATAGTATCAGTAGGAAGCGAATTCAGATATAGAGGTTAATGCAAAGGTGAACAATGCACACAGCGCAGCAAGTAAAATAACGCGATTCCTTTCGTTTGCATATAAAAATCAAGCAATGCAGAACGTGTGTGTGTGTCAGAGAGAGAGAGAGACCTGCGGCGGAGGAGAGGGAGCGGGAGTGGTGGAAGGATGGGAGGAGAGAGAGTTGAGAGGAGGCAATTGCGGTGGCAAAGAGAGATGGTTTGGATGGGAGTGAGAGAAAGCGGTGGTGAGCGTTGAAGAAGATCGGCCGAACACTATTCTTTATCGCATGTCGAAGAGCCAAAGATCGAAACAACCAGTTTCTCGTCATCGCTGATTCTGCTTCTCTTCCTTCACGCTTCCTGTGCTTTTCTTTCTCACTTCACAACTTCCCCCACAATAAACGATATACACTCTGGGTTTAGGTTTAACATAATTTTCGATATATTTTTTATTATTTAGTTAAATTTTATTAGAAGTAATAAATATTAAAAAAAATGTACTGCAGTAACAACATAAAGTGCTTTAACAAACCACTTTGACAATTTTAATAAGCATACCCAGTTTTATTTAGATAATAAATAATTGAAAAAAAAAAAACTCATGAAACTTGTACTTTTACTTAAAAAATCAATTTTAAGATACATGTTTTATATGTTTTTTTATTTACTTATTCTCTAAATAAATTTTATTTAGCTTTATTTTGAGAATTCATATTTTACTTTAAATCAATCCTTTTATATACAATTTTTTTTAAATTAAAGAAATTTCATATAAGACATTTTCAGTAATTGATTTTATAGAAATCTTTTCCAAAATTTGACAATTCTTTCTATGGTCCTGCAACATTTTTTTATGGTTTGTATAATATCATATCAATTTTATAAAATGCCTATGCTCCAATAATAATAAAAAAATTAATATTATGAAAACTTCGTATTTTTATTTTTTAATTAATTTTGTTTTTAAAAAAAAAGGTGCACTTAATAATTTGTTTAAGTCCATTGGAGAATGTGTTTTTATTGTGGAGGAATAGCGTTTTTCTTCAGTTGAAGATGAATTTCTCTAACAATAAATCTCTTCCAAAATTGATTTTTTTTTTTTCAAATCAAGGAACGCATTCATAAAGTAAATATAAGTTTTAAGTATATTTTAAAAAATAGTTGAATCACATGTAAAAGTTTGAAGCGCGAAAATAATTTAAAATTATGATTCAAGAAATTCACTTGTACTTTTCACCAAATTAAATTAATACAATATAAGCATGGGAAGAGAAGTGTACTTTGAAATAGTATTTTTAAAAATGATTAAATTAATTTTTATCCATTTGTTATTGTTCATCTTTTAAAAATACATTTTTCTGTTCCATTCTCATATTTCTGTCATCACATGACAAAATCATTGTTAAATAAGTGAGAATAAATTTATTTATTTCAAATTCGAAATAAAAAAAAGTGTTATTAAAATTTCTCCTTCAACTTATTCATTCCTTTGAAATCATCGATTTAAATCTTAAGTTTGGTCACTAGTTGAAACAAGGTATCTTCTTTTTCTTAATAATACTTTTAAACCTGGAATAGTATCTAGTAAAAGAACTTTTTAATATAAGGTTTTAAAAGTTAAATAGAAGTAAAAATAATATTAAAAGTATTATATAATTAGTATATAAAATAAGGTTTAATTGCTTCCTTTGTCCCCAGTTTGGTTGAATTGTGTCAAATTCATCCTCATTTTTAAAAAAGTTTCATTGTCGTCCTCACGTGGTGTAAAAGTTTCATTGTCGTCCTCACATGGTGTAAAAGTGTCAATTGAATCCAAACATAGAAAAAATTTGTGTCAATGTAGTCATCTCCGTTAAATACACACTAACGGTGTTAAGTGGCTGATTATTTGGCACTAGAGAATTAAAACGTGGCAAATAAGTCACAGTAGTGGTAATGACGTGTCAATGACGTGTCAATGAAATAGGTTATTGAATTGGGGAAATTAAAAGTATTTGTGAACGAAAACTAATTACGGCATTTGAGATATTTGAGATAGAGTGTTTCTGAGTTGAGGAAGGGTGAAAAATCGCAATTGCGGCTTTTGAAAGCAGAACGCGTTTGGTGAAAAACCTTTTTCTATCTAACAAGATCTCCCTCAACCTGAGTAACAATTTCGGCCGCAGCTATGCAAGATCATCATTCACCTGTATCAAACCGAATAAACAGACCAAATCACAGATTCCATGCCAATACACTCAAAGCTTGTCCTTTGGAATAAGCCATTTTATCCTCTGCTATATCCAACACATTAAAACAAGGGTGACAAATTGACATTTCAAACTGCATCATTAGTTCAACATCCTCATGTTCATTGACTTCAACACCAAGCACCAAAAATTTTGTCATCCTCAGCCTGTAACACAACCTATCAGATTAGCCCATTCCCTCAACGTTTCTATGATACAACATTCATCAGATTAATTCAAAAAAAAAAGGGGCCACCACTGTTTCGGACACAACACACATCTATCGTTCTTAATCTCAGAAGTCGAAACACCAAACTAATCAATAAATGAAAAAAGGGAATGAGAAAAGGAGAGTGACGGCGCCGGTGAGGAAGCGGGCTCCGGCGAGGGCAGCGGGTTCCATCGCCGGCACGACCCTGGTTCGTGGTCCGAAAGGTGGCGACTGGGCGCGGAGGCTATGGCAGAAGAGGAGATCGGACAGAGCGGCCCTTGGCGGCCTCGGAGGCTCGCGGCGGCCGACTTCGGTGGAGGTAGTGGCGGTTGTAGGGTGCAAGGCGAGTTCTTCCCGCGCGCGAAGAGGAAGGGGGAATGAGTTGGCGACGACTTGGACGGCGACACGCAGCGGCCGGTCTGGCGGAGGCGGCAGTGTGCGCGGAGATGACGCAGTGGCCGGTCTCGGTTGGGAAAGGGAGATTTGAGTTTTGTGCGTGGTTGTCGAGTGAGTAAGAAGAATAAGAGAAAGTGGGGGTTTCTGTTTTGTGTTGGAGAAGAGGAGATGAATTTGGGGAGGAAAGGGGAAACTGTGACTCATTTGCCACGTTTTAATTCTCTAGTGCCAAATAATCAGCCACTTAACACCGTTAGTGTGTATTTAACGGAGATGACTATATTGACACAAATTTTTTCTATGTTTGGATTCAATTGACACTTTTACACCACGTGAGGACGACAATGAAACTTTTTTAAAAATGAGGATGAATTTGACACAATTCAACCAAACTGGGGACAAAGGAAGCAATTAAACCTAAAGTGAATTCTGCATGTTTGAATGATAGTCAGTGGCTTTGAAAGGACGTCGGAAGGCGTACCGATAAGATAATTTGCTTGGGTGACGGAATGACATGAAAATTGTTTTGTCGTGTAAGGGTGTGACGTGGGGGAGGGGGAGAACGAATGATGATATGTACAAGGTGTGTGATTTTTTAAGCAAACATGAGGGTTATGATATTGCACACATTTCCCTTTGTGCCCTAGAGAAGGTCCGACACTTACTTAAGATTCAAGGTTAAGTATATGCGATCTGACAATGAATGGTTCCCTAAGCCTAAAGGTCGATGGTCATAGAGCTATGGCCCCTTCACAGCATCTCCACAACAATCGAGTAATCAACTAGATGTGGGAGACACAAGTGAAAAGAACAAACTCTAGCTGGGGTCTCACGATAAGCCAAACAGGAAAGTATTTCCCAAATGGCACCGCTACACACCCCTCTAATCTAAGTTGCAATCGAACCCGGGTATAGGGCTCCACTCATGATATGGATAGTGTCTGTTGTGTGAAGGGAGAATGCAATACAACCCAAACCCTCACCGCAAAACAACCAGAAAATTCTCCCAAGCAGATTATAAGCATTGGTCATCTATCTAGGGAATTCAATATCCAAATAATTATTTCAAACATAAAGAACAAGTAGAAGAACTCACATGCAATTATTCCAAATATCAAACATAGATAAAGAAAAAAGGGAAGAAAAAACATAATGAAAAACCACATCGAGTTCGCAATCTAATTAAATGGCCTGGACTCTCTTCACGTCCCCAGGTGGAAGTCGCCATCTGTCGCAACCGGAAATCGCGAAGGGACGATGATCCAAAAAAAGGTGAAAGGATTTTAGAAAAAGAGATGTGGAGTGCACCATAGTTTATTCTGGAAAAACTACGGAAAACCCTAAAATAATAAGACACTGTCCACGGAAAACCATATTCTGGGTTCGGGACGGTTACCCTACAACGCCTGCCCTAAGGCAGTACCTTTAACTAAATGCACAAATATGATGTGGTTTTCAAAATGTTTAACTATCCCCTAAAACAAAATTCTAAATAAACAAAATATATTTTTTAGTTTTTTAGGCCCGACAAGGATTGACCTTGCTCCTACGTATTCTCATTCAAAATGAGAAATCAGGGTTACGTAGTTATTTTGAAACTGTTTGAGAAGTTTGTTTTGGAAATTGTTTGAAAATGTTTTGATGAAATGATTTGGTATTTTGGAAAGTGAACCTGACAAAGGACTAGCCGTGCTCTACGATCTCCACTTTTGATGGAGAATCAAGGATCACGTAGTTCTGGCTGAAAGACTGTTTGTTTGCTTGAAAGTGATGATGTTTTTATTTTTTTGAAGATTTTATATTTTTTGATATTTTTTTATAAAGGAAAGAGAAAAGGTTTTTAGCACGAGAACGATGTGAGCGATCACACACGTGTTTAACCTTTAAAATATATTTTTTGGTATCATTACTTTTATAAAAGAAAGAGAAAAAGTTTTTAGCATAAGGACGATGCGTACGATCACAATGTGCTTAAACCTTAAAAACATTTTTTATTTTTTAGAAGAGAAGGAGGAAAGGTTTTTAACACAAGGACGATGCGAACGATCACACATGTGCTAACCTTTAAAACATGTTTTTGATATTTTTTATAAAAGAAAGAGAAAAGGTTTTAGCCACAAGACGATGCGATGTTGAATCACACCGGCTGAACCTTTAAAATAATTTTTTGGTATTTTAAAAGAAAGAGAAAAGGTTTGAGCCACAAGGACGATGCGAGCGATCACACATGTGCTTAACCTTTATTAAAATATTTTTTTAGTATTTTTTATAAAGAAAAAGAAAAAGGTTTTGAGCACAAAGACGATGCGAGCGATCACAAATGTGCTTAACCTTTCAAATAAATTCAAAAACCCTTTTTGATTTTATAATTTTATCCTTTTTATATTTTATAATTTTACAAATTTTTTTTGCCTAATTTTATTATATGAAAATAATTGTTTAAAATGAAATAAGACCGTATTTAATTATTAGATAAAAGAAGAATTTTAAACATAAAAAACTGAAATCTATTTCTCATAATTTTTTTTATTTTATACCGTTTTATATTCTAGGAGAAAATAATGGTTAAATAAA